GAGGTCCTGTGCTCCCTGTGGACGTCTCTGGATCCAGAGCTCCACGTCCCTGACCTGCAGCCGCTGGCCTCACGGACCCCCAAAACACTTATATTCATATCTATTGTTCTGTTCTATTGCTTGCTCTCCATCTCCCCACTCTCACCCAACCAGTCAAGGCAGATGGCCGTCTTCCCTGAGCCTGGTTCTGCCGGAGGTTTTTTTTCGTTTGGTTCCTTCCCACCATTGCCAACCGCTTGCTCAGAGGAAGTCCAAAGGCTACTTTGGATTGTTGGGTTCTCTGTTAAATTTATAAGGTCTCTGCCAGGGCTGTCCAATCCTGGTCCTGGAGGGCCACAGTCCTGCTGCATGTTTTAGATGTTTCCCTCTTCCAACACACCTGATTCACATGATCAGGCTTCTGCAGAGCTTGATGATTAGCTGATCATTTGAATCAGGCGTGTTGGAAGAGGGAAACATCTAAAACATGCAGCAGGACTGTGGCCCTCCAGGACCAGGATTGGACAGCCCTGGTCTATACCTTACTTTGTAAAGCGCTGTGTGATAACATGTGTTGTAAACTGCGCTACACCAATAGAATGGAATTGAATTGAAGCTGGCATTGAGTTCATTTTTGGGGCTAAAATCACATTGTGTTGGATAAGAGCCCAAACATAATGACGTTGGGGTTCTAGTTCTTTGTTTTTACAGCTCATACAAAGTGTTGAAACAAGCAGATGCATCATGTGTGATACAGTCCTGCAGTGTGGAGGAAAAAAAACTGATGTCTTCATTATAACTGATGCAATTTACCACTTTCCAGCGAGCTACTTTCATGTGATATATTTGAATGGATTTCTACGTTTCGAGCGTGCAGTCATGTTTTCATCCTCTCATCACAAACGGAAAAGGCCTTGAGCTGGTATTGATTCAGATGTTTGGGTCAAATGCAGTGTGTGCCAAATGAACTCTGACAGCATGTTTATCACACTACTCCACACAGCGCTTCACACCCACGCTGTCTCCAAAATCAACAAACAGCCCTCCTTTCACCTCCCACTCTCCTGAACCAAAATAAACCTCGCTCCTCAGATTCACTGACTGCTCGGTGGAAATCACAGCAGATTAGAAAGTTCACCGCTTGGAATTACGACGCACGTCACACAATAAATATCACATGATTTCAACGGGCAAAAGATAACTCGGTGAAACTTACCACTCGGCTAACGGGGATGAAATTGGCATCGAGGGAGACAATCCGAAATTTGACTTTAAAGAAAAGAAGATGATAAGTAATCAGCATCAAGTGTAGGAAAGGAAAAGCAAAACATAATACCTCAAGAAGAACAGGAAACTAACTGAGTGTACAAACAGATCCAACAGCACACGAGTACATCATTTTTTATATCACCAAAAACAAAAGAGGATGGAGCGGCTGAGAGCAACGGTTCAGAAATAAGACAACACAGCAATTTAGTACGTTACGTCCATGGAGCTTTAAAGCTAATGAGAAAGAAATTTTTAAAAAGAAAGGTCAAAATCATAGAAGCAGAGGCCAAGATACCCTGATCCATGTTTCTTGTATGGGTGCCAGTTTGTGGAAAAACTGGATGTTTGCCATAAGAAACATTTTTGTTAGACTCCTCCCTGCTTGGTCAACATCCTTACCATTTAAAATATCTCTGAAAGGCCAGGCTGTGACAAGCCTCAACATTTTTCTTTTCCCCTCAAACCTGATAAAAACTGCTCCAGAGCTGCAGGGGACGTTATATGTGACTGTTCTCAAAGGCTGAGCAGTGCTAAACATGTCAGTCTTAATGTATAACACTGACTGTGGCGGCCTTGTATTTATAAATTAAAACTCCACTGGTTCTAAATGTAAGGATGTCTTTTCTTGTTTGATGGAGACTGTGCTTAAGTTAAAAACAAATTTAAAAACAACAATTAGGAGTTCAGACTGTGAAAAAAGATGTAGGTGCTGTCCTGGTAGGAAGGCTCTGAAGACAGACACCATTTATCCTTCATTCATAGAACACTTTTTCTTTCTTTAAGTTGCAAAGTTCAGTCGTGACTCAATAATTCGACCCTTAACAACCCAAAAACCTTGCTATCCGACAGGTTTTTAGGAAAAACGAACTGAACCCATTAAAGTAGGTTTAACATACCGACAGCCTTGGATTCTGACTCCGACGTGATATTTTATGTCACAAATCAGGATAATGGTGTATTATCTGACTGAACAATCTGACAGATTGGCTACGTTCAGACTGCAGGACTTAATGCTCAGTTCACATTTTCTTGTAAAATCTGACTTTTTTGTGAGTTCGTTCACATTTCCAATTAAATGCAACTTGTATGTGATCTGCTGTGTGAACTTCATACGACCCAAAAGTGTCCCACATGCACAGAAGAGGACACGACGACGTCACACGCAGCAAGTCAGTGTTTGTGAAAGTAAACGTGGATTCTGTTTCCACCATCGGTGGTGGCGGCAGCGCCACTCCCCCGCCGCCGCCACCACCAATGGTGGAAACAGAATTGTGACCACTAGCTAAACTAGCATCAGCAGCCAAGTACTGCCTGTGCGTTCCGGCCACTTCCACCCCATTGGAGCGCTCTCCCAGGGTGGAAATGTCCCCCACTGGGCCCATGCCGAATATTCATCAGTAATTGGGCCTAAATATTCAGAAAGTGCTATTCAGACCAGCCCTACTAGTTATTATAACAACTATGAACAATAAATATTAACAACAAATGAGCCTTCAAGCATCAAGCCCTCCTTGTATCTCGACCTCCATCTCCATCCGACATAAAAGAAGGTTTTACATTTAGTGTCGGATTATCGAGTCACGACTGTACGTACTGTTGCAGTGTACAGTGTAAAATCTCCCGTCTGTACATTCTCTACTGACGTATGTGACATATCTTCCACTGTGCAGAGGATATTGGGTCAGAGTGGGCAGAAAAGTATGCTGGCATGCATACTGCAAATTAAGACTGGATGTAGCAGAACATCCTGATATATTTATACCACACTGTGTATAGGGTCGTACCAAATCTTTTTTTGGCATGTATTGAGGTCATATAGGTAATGGAACAAACCCTTATCTGTATTATGGGAGGTGTAGGACCTGGTGTTTCTGGGGCTATGCTGACACAAGGTAGTAAACACCATAATCTCTGCCTCTGCTGCATCAATTTCAAATGTTTTTCTTTAAATCTGTGTCTTGAAAGACGTCAAATCTGGAATATTTTAATTTAAGTGTAACACTAAATGGGTGTCTAAGACTTAAATGGACAGGTGTTGTAAATTAATGTTTCACTACAAAGCACTACATACAGTGTGTGCAGTGCTTGTGTATAATTGTAGCTGTAATAATAAAATGTTGTACTTTTTAAAATTTATTTTTTAAATATGGACCAAACGTCAGCATTGGAACTACTGTAAATCTAAGAGGACCAAAAAAAAAATTAACAATAATATATGGGTACATATTGGTTCCAAACATTACACAGAAAAAATTTAAAACTAAAAAAAAAACACTTCCTCTGCACTGGATATTTTTTAAAGCAGATATAAACAACCTCTACCAAGAACTGTTGAGGAATCACCGTTCTTCTGTGCACCGAATATAGACATAATTCCTAAAGTTGTCAATTTGCGGCTCAGCATTATGCAGATATAGTAAAGTAGTCCAGAATTATGCAAGTACAGCTGAATTGGTAAGCAGCACAGAGAAGACAACGTGAGCTAGACGAACAGCACGACTGCAGCAGAGTATTAGTCACTCCACCGCACAGTGGGAAGCTCCAGCATCTCCATAAATCGTCCAAGTGGACAGAAGCAGTTTTAATGACGAGCACTCGAATTAACGACATCAGACACCTACCAGTCTGCCCAGGTTTGTAGATGGGTTTGTCAGTCTGGACGACGTGAATGAAGGCAGGAGGCTCGATGAGGACTTTGGTCTTCTTGCTCAGTGAGGAGGTGTCATCCTGAAGCGTGACATGAATGGTTGACACAGTTCTCCGGGGCACTGTAGGGACCTGCAACACCAGCAAACACACATCTGTCAGGGAGCACTGGGAGACATTTAGGTGTTCAGGATGAGAGAAAGGAAGAAAAGGAAGGAGGGGAACACCATTACATTTGCTTCATGCAGAGGCGCAATTTGTGCCTAATTGGCAAGCACTTTCCTAAATCATCCTTCTTTGAAGTGTTTTTGCTGAAACATCGGTCCCGCAAAATGGTCGAGAACGACTGCTTGAAAGCAAATCCTTCTGAGCTCTGCTGATATTGAGCAACAACAGGCCTCTTCCAAAAGGTTAATTGTGAAATAGCGTCATCCTTGTATAGCATATGTTTTCACTTCCTAATAGAGCTGCTATTGCATAACAGGGGCTGGAACCACTTCCAAAAATTACAAAGTGGGATGGGGGGGGGGTTTCAGATGTGTGTTAGAGTAAGGGGTAGGGGGTGTTCTCCAGAGGAATGTAGCTAGGTAGCCAGCCTCTGGCAGAGAGCAGTATTTGTGTAGTTGCAGAAAGACAAATGCCAGACCAGTCCTGCAGCAGAGCCAAACACTGGGGAACGAAGTGAAACTAAGTGCTATTGTCACAGAGCTGATTGGGGTCGGCGGGTCGTTCCACATCAATATGGAGCAAGACCCGAAGGTTGCATAACAGTGAGCAGCGGTGTGACAGAAACCAGAGCAGCAATTTAAAGAGACCCCTTGGTGTTGACAGCCTCAGTCATGCTGGATAATTAGGTACATAATTATGCCAAGAGTTGTGCCATTACTTCAATGAGCGGTAAGGGGAAGAGGAGAGGAAAGTACATGATGCTTGGAAGCCTCATGGATGCATTTAATCTCTCCAAACATTAAAAGTTTAGTCCTGCTCTATTCTACCTCACTGCCACTGGAAAACTAGAAGTCAACACTAGAAAAAAAAAAAAAGAAGTATATATTTATAACCCAACTATCACACGTTCGTCTGCCACTTGTTGTCAGACAGCATGTACATGTCGAGTCTGACCTGGAAGCTGAAGCAGCGGTAGAAGTCCTCCTTGACAGACTCCTCTACGAGGACACTGTCGGCAGATTCTGTACTGAGGGTGATGTTCAGAAAGATCGGATCCGTGGGGCTGTGGATCTGGGTGCATAGAGTCTCCTGCTTTCCTGATGTCATACGGGAGCTCACCGTCACTGCAAAAATACTGCAGGGATGAAAAGAAAGGAGAAAACAAATAATGAATGTGATGAATTTCTATGGGTGCGTGCACAGCCCTCTAATGAGCTTCACTTGTGTGGGGAGGCCACGGCCACCCCAGGACACCCCTCAACTCTGCCCCTGTACAAAGAGACCACTAGTGGAAACTCAAGTAAATGTTTTTTTTTTTACTTTACTTTAGTAAATCCTTTTTATACACGACTTGAGAGGGGGGGAATCCAACTGTATGCAAAAATACAAGTTGCAAACTAATTTACTTCCTCTGAATGCAGTCTTGTGGTACTGAATGAAGATTTTACATTTGCAATGTGCTAGATCAGTAAAAGTTCAAAGTAGTTCGTGCATCACAGAAAACAGGACAGAGGCATTGTAATGAAAAACATGCTTCCCACTGAAACTGCATTAAAGGACATCCTAAAAGCTGCTGTGGTATCTAGATTCAACCAACCACTCTGCTGGATTTTCTGTGTTGGACGCTGCTTGGCACACAGGGGCCTGCTATTGCCAATGAGAAATAAAGGACACATTTAATTGAGTTTTGGGTGGTGCTGCTGAGAATATTGATGCCGTTTTTTTTGCCAGAGAGAAAGTTGCTGGATGATTAAAAGTCACTCGACTCTGATACAAAACTAAGCATTTGGGTCAGGATGACTGCAGTTCAGACAGCTCACAAAGACAACAAAACAAAGGTCAGGACATAAATCAATATGCAAAGACAGAGGATCTGACTTATAGCAAAGAACCAACTATTTCTTTAATAGAGAGTAAGTTTGGCCTAAAACAGCATCATGAAGAACATCTCTGAATGCTTTACTCCATCCAGGCCATTTTAGCAGATCTGAGCAGGTTATTAATCAAATGGTGGTAAGTGGTAGCAGATGGGAGGCACACACACACACACACACACACACACACACACACACACACTGGTGGGACTGTTTCTTTGCTGATTGCATAACCGTGTCCTGAGGCCAACCACTGGACTATGTGCCTCACCAGCGGGACGATGCATGTTTGTGGTGATATCAAGCATGCTCCGACATAAATTGACAAATATACAACTTTTCATTTTAATTTTTTATTTGTTCAAACTTCATCACGTGCAACTAATTTTCCTGCAAACATCCGCACGCGCAGCCTGTTTGGCGTCTCAAGACGTGACGCGCAAAACTTTGCAAACTTTTGCAGACAACATTAGACGCAGTAGTTTGTCTATTTAAAAAAATTATAGAAATAAAGAAATAAACAGCACTATTTCAGCCTACTTACGTGTCATTGAGGTTTGACGATGTCGCAGTTTGCAGCAGAGCTGATGCCAGGATGACAGCACACATTTGGAGGACAGGTGCCATGTCTGCGCAGCGGAGCGGCGGGACGACACGAGCGGACTGCACCGAGGAGGAGGACGCACTCCCAGCCTGCTACCCCTACTGTGGCCCGGACTCAGAGAGAGGCAATCAGGGATGTGCACAGTGCACAAAAATGCTCTAACGGGGGAGGCAGTGGGTTGCTGTTTATAACACCAAACCACAGCCACCCCCTCCCCCCAGAGTCACTCCCCCCAAGTTCGTTGGGCCTTTGCAGCCTCCTCCCTATTCCCCACAGAGCTGCACTTCCCAAAAGTTGAATCACTAAGTCCTGCCTAAGGCCAGCAGTCCACTCCTCCAGTTTCTGCAGAATGTCAGTCCTAACAGCAGCGAGTGAGGGCTCAACAAAGAGTGGGTGGGAGAGTGAAAATACAGGGGCCATTGTTTGATGGATACCAGGGAGTTTCTGCACCGTTTAGCAACAGGCCTGACCACTGCAGGCACCTGGTATGTTGCTAAAATCATCACAGATAATGCATCTCAGTGTCAGTAGGGCCTGCGTGGCCCCAGGGAGGCCCTCCGCAATCTCCTGCAATTAGAGAAGGTATGAGATCTGATATCACGTATTTCCCAATCCCCTTCACAGTGTCTGCATTTCAGGGCTAAAACATTTACAATACGTTCCACGTTGCGGGATTCATTTCATATAATGTGTGTGAGACTGGAAGAGATTTAATGCTACACCAAAACATCTTCTGCAGCATTGGCAGAGATATGCTGACTATTGAAAAGCTTCATTTTACATTTTACACTTGTTTAACTGTAAACTAAATTTTATAATTCATCCTACATCCACCCAACCGGTCGAGGCAGATGGCCGTCCCTCCCTGAGCCTGGTTCTGTAGGAGGTTTTTTTTCCCCCGTGGGGGTTTTCAGTTCCTTCCCACTGTTGCCGACTGCTTGTGGACTGCTGAAGCTTATAGGGAATCCAAATGTTTTGGATTGTTGGGTGTTTCTGTCTCTGCCTTTGTTAAGCGCTATGAGATGACTTGTTGTAAATCTGCACTATACAAATAAAATTGAATTGAAATTGAATTTTTGTGTGTGAAAACGCACTGGGCACCGGGGTGGTGGTGTTACAGTTCCTATGAAAATCCATAAATCCCTTTTAAAGGGAAAGGGGCTCACCTATTTGAACACAGGTGCAGCCAATCGGTGCTAGAAAACACACAGTTGGTGAAATGGACGTCATCTTCGTGCAGTCAGTGTGTCTTAGTGATTGTAGTAGAAAGACACGTGTATCTGGAAAGTCCAGTCAGTGGTGACTCAGTGCCACTGGCTATAGCTACACCATAAAGACTAAAAAACACACTCTGTGAAAAAGTAATAGAAAAGCACAAGTCAGGGGACGGAGTGAGGGTCACTTGGGGGTCATTCCGTGTCAACTTAGCGAGATTCGGGAACATCAGCTGCTCGACCACCTCAGAATCTGTTGTCGCTTTGTCGGCATGATCTTTAGCATCTGAAGGAGACAGCTGCCATTTTTTTAAAGCTGAAATTTCAACATTTTTACAATTTTTGTGCAATGGAAATTTTTAATAAATCATTCGCAAGTATGAAATTAAATGAGATGCCTCTTTCAGATGTCCATATCTTGAAGTACAGATCCTTGAGTCTTCAAATTTGAATTAATGCAGTAATTTAATGCAGCAAATTCTGGCAATCAAGACTTTTTTTTTGCTCAAGACCTCTCAAATTTGTTCAAAAATGGCAAATAAAGTGAATGTTCAGAAACTCGAAAAATATATATATCTAATGCACAGGATTATTGCAACAAGAGTTTCTGAATGACATTACCAATGCTTACACAGCTTTAATATGTTCGTAGCATTGGGTGTTATGGCCAATCAAAGTTGGCACAGGTAAAAAATAGCATTTAATTTCCAAAAGGCCAGATGGACATCTTGAGTCATGCGGAGGCTGATGAAATTTAGGATAGTAAGAGATGGAAGTATCATCTACTGGTGTGCCAAGTTTCAATATCCTTCCTTGTTGTCCAGGACATACACTGTTTAAAAAAATCAAGGGGACACTAAAATAACACATCCTAGATCTCAATGAATGAAATAGTCCAGTTGAAAAACTTTATTCATTACGTAGTGGAGTGCGTTGAGAACAAAATAATATAAAAATGATCCATGTAAATCAAAATTATTATCCCATGGAGGTCTGGATTTGGAATCATACTCAAAATAAAAGTGGAAAATCAAATTACAGGCTGATCCAGCTTCAGTGGAAATTCCTCCAGACCAGTCAGAATGAGGCTCAGTAGTGTGTGTGTGGCCTCCACGTGCCTGTAGGACCTCCCTACAGCTCCTGGACCTGCTCCTGATGAAGCAGGATGTTCTCCTGAGGGATCTCCTCCCAGACTTGGATTAAAGCATCATCAACTCCTGGACAGTCTGTGGTGGATGGAACGAGACGTGATGTCCCAGATGTGCTCAGTTGGATTCAGGTCTGGGGAACAAGCAGGCCAGTCCATAGCAATTTGTTTGGTCTAGACCTTACTTTGTTTAGCGCTGTGTGATAACATGTTGTAAACTGCGCTATACAAATAAAATTGAATTGAAGAGCATCAGTGCCTTCATTATCAGGAGCTACTGACACACTTCATCCACATGAGGCCGAGCATTGTCATGCATCAGAAGGAACCCAGGGCCCACTGCACCAGCATATAGTCTCACAGTGGGTCTGAGGATCTCATCCCGGTACCAAATGGCAGTCAGGGAACCTCTGGCTGGCCTATGGAGGGCCGTGTGGCCCTTCAAAGAAATGCCTCCCCACACCATTACTGACCCACCACCAAACCGGTCATACTGGAGGATGCTGCATTCAGCAGAACGTTCTCCACGGCGTCTCCAGACTCTGTCACGTCTGTCACATGTGCTCAGTATGAATCTGCTCTCATCCTTGAAGAGCTCAGGGCGCCAATGGTGAATCTGCCAACCTTGCTGTTCTCTGGCAGATGCCAGTCTCCCTGCACCGTGGTGGGCTGTAAGCACAAGCCCCACTGGTGGACGTCGGGCCCTCATACCATCTTCATGGAGTCTGGTTCTGACAGTTTGAGCAGCAACATGCATATTAGTGGCCTGCTGGAGGTCATTCTGCAGCTCTGGCAGTGCTCCTCCTGGTCCTCCTGCACAAAGGAGGAGGCAGCGTCCTGCTGCTGGGTTGTTGCCCTCCTACGGCCCCCTCCATGTCTCCTGGTGTACTGGCCTGTCTCCTGGTATCCTCCAGGCTCTGGACACTGTGCTGAGAGACACAGCAAACCTTCTCGTACTGATGTGCCATCCTGGATGAGCTGCACTACCTGAGCAACTTCTTTGGGTTGTAGACAACGCACCAGCACTGACAAAATGCAAAAGTGACCAAAACATCAGCCAAAAAGGACGAGAACAGAGTGATGGTCTGTGGTCACCACCTGCAGAACCACTCCTTTATAGGGGTTGTCCTGCTAACTGCCTCTCATTTCCTTCTCTTATCT